GTTTACAACCCGTCGGAGCGTTGTTGTAGGATTCAGCAGAGGTTTGTGATGTAAACAGTTTGTTTGATTGGTTCTGATGAACATGCTTCAGGCTTTGTAGGCAGCATGTGGGGTGTGATCAGGAGTTATAGTCCCCCTTAGGTAGATAGAATATGGCTTTGGGTATTTTATAATAAGATCCCCATATACCCCATATTCTATCTACTTAAGGGGGACTATATGTGGGCCTTCATGGGGATTTGTGGTCTTACGCAAGGATTTTCGACGCACAGCTCACGTAGGCATAGGTTGAAGGAGTGTAGGGGTTCCAGTTTTGGGTGTTCTTTGCATTTTAGGGTTTAGGGTTTAGGGTAAGTTTGATAGTCCAGTGTATAGGGGTTGTATAGCCTGGTTGGCCACTAATGCGGAGCTTCACATGGATGATGATGCAAGGATGCGCATATGGAAGTTGATGCCAGCTTGTGTAAGGAGTAGGCAAGGGCTGTAGCGTGAGCATGCATGGGGTTACGCGCTCTATTGCTGTGACTGAAAGCTTTGCGCCTTTTCTACGGTCCTCATAAGGACGAAGGTTTTACTTTGTCTACAAGAGGGACCCGCTTTAGAGAATCCGCGGTCTTTTGGGGCCTGTTGCAGTTAAGCTGCCATGGCATGGTCAAGGCTTGGAAACGGCTTACAATTGTGGTGATTTGGGTGCCATGCACCGTAGGACCTTGTAGGGTCAAACCATTAATTAGGCTAGGTCCGCAAATTCAGAGCCCTTTAACAGTAGTTTCCATTTCATTTTCCATTATCCCTATACAGGCCCAATATACCCCTAAACCCTAAATTGTAGTTTCCATTTCCACTACACTATGTGGTGGCAGTGCTTGCGCGGCCCTCATGTCTCCAAAAAAAGACGCCGGAGTGGCTATTGACATCTCAGGTTCTGTGGGCTGTTCTATGCCGATGACCACCGGAAGCACCGTCACACGTACCATCATGCAACCAAGTCAGCACCGAAGACCCCGCTATCTCAGCGTGCCCGGGGCCATCTAAACCTGTGTAATATCAGTCCCGAAGCCTACAACCCTGGCCATTTCTGGACTGAACGTGAAGCCCTGGAAGGATACAACGACAACGGTGAAAGGGTTCGGAGGGTTTTTTCTTCCTGTCCAGCCCACCACCGTCCAGGCTTCTCTTTTACGAGTGAGATGGAATAGAACAGTCTTGCTTCCGTTTCTGAATATCAGTAGAAGCCCTGGAAGCATGAAAGCGGACCATACTGGAAACAGATGGCTACTAGCTGTTTGCAATGAGTCAGCAAGCACAAGCATAGTTGTAGGTTCTTGCAAGCAGCTTTCACTCTAAGTCCGCCTACCTCAGGTAAAGGGACAGTGTGTGATGCACTGTGGCAAGCACCGCCATGGGGCTTTGGACATCGAGCGTGGGGAGCGGGCATCCCTGCGACTGGCCTTGCAAGGGGTCCGAGAACTTCAGGCTTAGGCTTCACGATCATGAAAAGAACAACAGCCCTGCTCTAATGCCTTGCTCTGCAAGGGATCTTGACATTCAGTTCGCCAGGTGGCGTCTGCGGGCTTTCCTGGTGTCTTGAAGTTAGGGTACTTGTCGAGGGGGTTCTTGTCAGAAGGGTCCGTATCCTGCGGGACGCATGTCCTCTGAACTACGCTCACTGCCCATCTTGCTGAGGGTCATGTGGACAAAGAGCCTGGCATTCCGCCGGACGGCTGAATACAAGCAGAAGTATGACGTGGCCCGCTGGAATCTGCATCTCCATTTGGCAGACTGCTTTAAGGTTTTTTTGATGAGAGGGGTGTAGGGCCTAACGGCCGTTTAGCGTTTTCTGTAGCAGTTCTTCGAACCCAGGAATAGCGGTCCAGCGGACCTGATCTGCCTGAGCTACACCCATGACGAAGATTATGAAGAGCTGATACCTGAGCATCTGAAGTTTCAGACGCTAGGCTCATGAAGAGCTTTGGCTTTTTCTGTTCTGTTTTGTTCTGCTCTATTCCACGCTGCGGCGTCATGTTATGTGAGTGTTCACTAAATTTAGGGCAATTTGGGGCCCGCTGTTTGGGTCAGGATCTGTGCCACGTTCAGCATCTTCACGAGGAGTGGTAACACAAAAAGTAGTAGCAAGAATCGTATATGTATCAGGTCGCAACAATGAAGTCAATGAGGGTGCGAACCCTGTCATAGCAACGCCAACCGAGAGCGGACAAGCACGAGCGATTCTAAATGTGCAGTTAGATGTTATGACCTCACTTCCAGTCATCCTTCAGAAGCCTCCATAAACGTGAGCACCGAGGGCTGCAATGCCAAGTCCGGAACACTGACTTTAGAACCTGAACCCCTGAATCATGAATGCTGAGCTCTTTATAAATACTGCTGTAATTCCTGAACTCCACACAGAAGGCCAGCATGTCGGAGCATGGAAATAGGAGGATTTGTATTGTGTGCCCTTTCGTATATCTTGGAGTCAGGGGACATTCCAAATTCCCACCATCTTGCTTTCCCATAAAAGCAGCTCCCATAATCCCCCGCATCTCTAACGCAAGCCCTAACCCCTGTCTATAATAACAGCACTTTACTTTCACGTTACTGGAACTTTCTAATTCTATGTTATTTTACGTTACTGGAATATTCTATTTCTATTCGTCACTACCATCGCCCCCTAGTCCTGGAATCCGGAGGATGCCGGGAGCGGCGCAGAGCGACAAGGATTCAGAAAGCGATGCGGGCTCCGAGCAGAGTCCCGTGGAATCTCTGCGGCATTTGGGAGTTCTTACCCTTGCTGGTTTTGAGAAAGGAGTCGAAAGGAAGATGGAAGTTATTATTCAGGGTTTGTAGACGATGGAAAAGACGATGGAAGCTGCTGTTCTGGTTTAGGGTCATCAGTCAGGAGGAATCGATTCAGACAGTTGCTCCTGTATACCCCCTAATAATACAACATATTATTCTAGTTTCCATGTTCTTTTTCATTATCCCATTATAGCCCCAACATACAACAGTAGCCCTTATTTCTTGTATACCCCCCAATCATAAAGTAGTCTCCATTTTTCCTTTCCCGCGTTCCCTTCTAAAATCAGAATTGCCTCAGGGGCCCCCAGCACAAGGATAATATTGAGGGGCGAATTGTCTAGGTCCTATAGTCCCCCTTAAGTAGATAGAATATGGCTTTGGGTATATTATACTAAGATCCCCATATATCCCATATGCTATCTACTCGAGGGGGACTATAACCCCAATATATACCCTATTATAATATAGTAGTTTCCATTTTCCATTATCTCAATATTACCCCACAATATTCTATCTACTTAAAGGGGCTATGGGGCTTCAAGTGCTTGAAACTTAGAGCCTCGCAGATGCCTGACCTGTTTGATGAGCATATGGGCCCATAGTCTAAACTCTTTAAAGGGGGTTATACTGGGAGTATATCGGGGACTGATCTAGGGCTTACTGAGGGGGGTTATTAAGAGTTGAGACTATAGCTCATATGCCTTTTTTTTGTTTGTGTGTGCGTGTCTGAGGACTACACTTGGGTGCGTGCCTGTGCGGCTGCGGATCTCGCTGAGGGCAAGGGCCACGTGATCAGCGCGGGGCAGCACGAAGGCTTGCATTCACGATCCAGGGGTCTCTCAAGCTTTAAGAAAGTGGGTGTATGGGCTTTAGTAGGGCTCCTGGAGGACCCAAGCGATACATAGAGGGTTGCAAGGCGATTGCGGAAGTCAGCGCTAGGCATCTTGTAGGGGAAGCTTTGAAAACTCCCATCTTGATGACTGGCACTGCGTCTTTTTATTTTTTTTTTCGTTGAAAGGTTGTGTTCTGTGCAGTTCTTATTGTCATCAAGGACTGGGGTTTTTGTGGAGCAGTCCGTAGCTTGATTCAAGGCTCGTGGCTTCTGCCCGATGACACCCCCGGAAGCAGCAGCTAGGTTAGCTGTGTAAGGAGCGCACAACGTGGACAACCCCCGTGAGAGCCCATTTGGGGGATTGTCAAAAGTATGGTCCCTGTTTGGGTCCCCTAAATTAGGCCCCATATTAGACCCCGTATTATAATAGGGACCCAAAAACGGACCATAATTTTGGCAATCCCCCATTTTTTAGACCCAAATCCTCATGGGTTACGTGGGACGAATGCGAAGGACTGGGGCAGACGGAGATTGCGCTCTTCCGCTCGAAGGGCGAAGTCTTTGCCATGGAGACTCTAGGCCTCGAGTTTGGGTTATAGGGTTTAGGTTGGGTACGGCCTCCCCCCAGTCACAGTCTATATTAGGGTTCCTATTAAGGGCTATATATAACCATATTATAGTTATTATTCAACTGTTACTGTGGGTGGGTAGTACCCAACGTTTAGGGTAGTTTAGGGTTTAGGGTTCTGCAACATCCTTGTTGTTAGATGAAGCCCAGTCTTGATGTTAGCTGCCCAAAAGTTGAAGCCGTAACTTGGTGACGTTAGATCAGCCCAAATTGGCGTTAGATTCCAGCCTCAAAACTGAGAAATGGTAGTTTTCCAAAATAGGGGCACCCCCCATAAAACCGCAAAATACAATAATTCTTCTTATGGGGATCCTCAAAAAAGAGGTACCCCGAATCTTGGGCAACACCCTAGACCCTAGACCCTAAACCCTAAACCCTAAACTCTAAATCCTAACCCCTAAACCCCTAAACCCCTAAACCCTAAATCCCCCTAAGTCAGCCCGAGGAACCGCTGCAGCCACATGGGTGCTTCCTTAGCCTCTGGGGAGGTTCGGGATGTGGAGGACTTGGCCAAGTCAGGCCCGTCATCCCATGGTAACATGCATTTCATAGAGTTAAGGGAGTTTAGGGTGTATTTTAGGGAAGTCCACCCGTGGAATCTTGTAAATGTAGGTTTTGGGATGGACGGCCCAGAAATGCAAGAAGTGTGGAAGGATTTGCCGGCTAAGTGGGGGCTGTCATGTGCTATAGTCTAAACTTCTAGTATCCCCCTTAACAAAATCCGTATATTGTCCCCTATACGATCCCCTTCAAGGAGTTTAGACTATAGCTTTCATGAGGTAAGCCAACTGATCTCCTGGCATTGGCTTCTTTCCGGCAGAGTGTCGTGAGTATTAGGGTTTAGTGTTTAGGTGAATATTCGGGCATGCCAAAACCTAAACGGAAAACACACCCCAGAACCATTCTGTCCTACTGGGTCTTCAGGGAATAAAGCAATATGATCCCCTACATAATCCCTGTAACATATTCCCGTATTCTAACCAGTCAGCATTGCATGGAACTTTCTCAAACCTACCCTCATTCAAACCGTTATCTTACTGGTTCTTAGTACGGAATGAGGGAATATGTTTGATAGGAGTTATATATAGAGATTATACTGCCTTAACCCCTACTAAGAACCATTCAGAGTGTCGCAATTACCACAGACTCCCCGTATGCCCTAAGGGCCCCCATTCTGTCTCCAGTATTTAGCTATACTCCCGAATAATCTTCCCCCATCAGTTGCAAGCACGCCCAATAAAGTTCCATTATACCATAAGGGGAGTGATTTAGGAGGATTCCCCACCCTGTAATAGTGGTATAATAAGACTATGAGAGGACCCTAATATAATCCCTATTATCCCTTATAGTCACTATTACTGGGTGGGGGGTCCACCTAAGGAGTGATCATGATTCGAGGGTGGGGCGTCTATGACTGGCTTTGAACCTGAGACCCCTAAATCGTGTAGTAGTTAGTGGTTTGCACTATCCTTTGCATTTTCTATATAGGCACTATACCCAGTAAACCCTAAAAACCCTAAACCGCGAGAACCCTAAACCCTAAAGACCCTAAACCCCAAGTACCCTAAAAACCCTAAAAGCCCTCAAAACCCTAATCCCCTTTTGAGGGATTAGATCAGGTGATCAGGTTCCAGCTGTGAAGTGCCCTGGACATGGAGCCTCTCAGCTTATGTTTAGGGTTTATAGTCCCCCTTAAGTAGATGTAATATGGGGTATATGGGGATCTTATTATAATATACCCAAAGCCATATTCTATCTACTTAAGGGGGACTATAGGGTTTTGGAGAAGACTCTCAGCTTATGTTTAGGGCTTAGGGGTTTAGGGTTTAGGGGTTTAGGGTTTAAGGTTTAGGGGGTGTACTGTAGGGGCCTAAGATGGCCCATAGAATCACCAACATTATGGTGTTAAGTTCCTCGCATGATGATATGGTATATAGGGTATCTCAAGTGTACGTCAGAATGATATTGGTAATTATTCAGCTTCATCATTGCAATGGCTTACTTCTTAACGGTGCTACTTCTTCCAGTGTCGCCCCGTATGCGTTGGCCATAGTACAAGCTACCAATTGTTGTTCTTACCTGTCAAGATGTTGCTACACCGGCAGGGTGTAGTCTTGGCTGTTGGTTCTGAGCCGTGAGTTAGTGCTGTAAGGGAGCGCAAGTAGTAAGTTAATTGTTGAGAACGGTGGGCACGTACGTTCCAGCCAGGGGATGACAGACTTTTCTGCAAACCCGACATTCTCGAGGCGTAAAATTTAAGTCCTGGACATGTCGATGGACAGAAGAAGGCAACTTGTGCATAAATACTGCGCTCAACCTCTGAGGCCTCATACGCCGCCTAAAGTTTGCAAGATCTTTTCAGCCTCAGAAGGTTTCATGGAGCCGGGCAGATGCCGGTGGCGGTTTGCTTTAACCTCCGCTCGGCGGTGCTGCCCACGAAGCCATAGACAACACTTCATGTACATCCTATACTTGAAATCTAGCAACACTCCTTGTATAGTCTCAATCCAGATCCTAAACTAAAATGAGACCGTGATGCAGTAGCGCAACGCGTATGGTCAAACAAATGCAAACCCCAGGTCTGCTTCAACCCTCTGCAACCCCCCTAAGCCCGTAACGCTAAGCTGAACCATCGCAAACATGAACACGGCCACAATAGTACTCCAGTTTCAATTTTGTTGTTCAGTTGAT